ACATACACATTCTGTCCTGTCCTGTTATATGTGAGTTCAAATTCTGTTCTGCTCTTCCTATCATGTCATGTTCACTTTACGATGTTGGGTTCTGTGATGTTCTACATATTGCTGTATCTATGCTGCTCGTATATTGAGCTGCATTATAATTTTACGGTACTGTTATTATGTCATGGTGTGTCATGATACAAACTGAACACATATTAGAGTAGATGAGGTTACATCATTGTGTATTGTACTCTCTTGCATATTGTACTATATGATATTGTAGTGCAATGCAGGGTGCATGTGCATTTGGTTTTACATGTATACTGAAGGGACTTCGCCCAGAGGCGGGCAACGCCGGGCAGTTGCTGAAAAGCAGCCGGCATCATTCGCATAACCAGCCGTCCTGCATCGGGACCCCATGTCGCCTTTGCTCGTGGCACTGCTGTGTTGTCGCGCCAATATCTGGAGCAACATGCAGATGGTGCTTCATGGCGCCTGCAGCAACTTCCACTCGGTGCTTTGAGAGCATGCATGATGGGCCTTGCAAACTCTCCTCCTTCTCCGTGTCCCGTAGAGAAACCGGCGGTTCTTCATGGGAAACGGAGCTTTTTTTGTGTTTTTCGCATCCATCCAGACCGTCAGACGTACTGGCAGGCGGGCAGGCAAGCCGGCATGCGTGTAATATGTACAGACAACCCCATGCTTTCTCCCCCTCTCTCGCTCTCTCTCTCTCTCTCTCTCTCTCTTTCTTTTCCTCTCCCTCCGAAGTGTAAGCAAGTGCCCTCACCCCTAGGTGGCAAGAGTGCCTGCGCCTGTATCACGACACGGCGGACGAGAGAATGGCAGCAGAAGCTCACACCACTCTCCTCTCTGCCCTCACCAACGCTCAGGCAGGAGGTGTTCAGGTTTAGAAGCCAGTTGCAGCTGCTCACAATGCACAATTGCGGTTGCACATTGGGATTGGTGTAGAATAGAGACAGCTGATCTTGGAGGCAAGGCATCACGAATTTCAACATCTACGAAACTTATTAAAGCCAAGCTGAAAGCCACCCAAATTTCCAATCCCTGCTTTATTGCTATCGCCAATACCTTATATCCGAAAGCCCGAAACAGTGTACCCCCAGGCACCTTCAATCTGCAGATCCGAAACTCGAGTTCGGACAGTTGCAGCCCTGAAACCATTTCAGGCGTGGCGGCATTCCCTCCGCGTTTTCGCCTCCCTGGGCTCACGCCAGCTTCGGGCTAACGAGGGTGTGGCGCATGCATTGAGGGCTTTGGGCGCCTGGGCGTCAACATGCATTTTGAGAGTTTTCTTGCTGTTTTTGCTCTCGGCATGTTTTGGTCTGATTGATATTCGAGAGGCAACGCTTGCTAGCTTGCGGATGCCACGGGGTCCAGGAGTCATGGCTTCTACGAGAGTCGTTGTCCACTCTTCTTCCGAAGTCACGAAGGAGTCGAAGTTCATGCCAAACTTAATTTTGAGAGTTCCTGCCGCACTTCGTCACATCGTGGCTGCGGCAGCGAAAGTCAGTCGACAACTACATGAATCGAGCTTGGAAGTCACTTAAGTGCCCTAGTTAAGTCGGATGAAGTCGGGCTTGAGACTGTCGAAAGGCGCAAGACTCACCAGGACCGTGCTTTAGCAAGACTCACCTTCCAAACAACCCACGGCCAGAGCAAATCTCACAAAGGCCATCGCCAACGTGTAGAAACGTCGCTCGGTTTGGGTTCTTGTGCAGTGTGGCCAGCTAGATTTTGAGAGGTCGGTACGGAGGAGCACAGCAACCACAGCAAGGGCAGAGAGTGCGGATGCCAAAGGCCTTCCGAACTCGAACTAGAAGACACGAGAGCAACATATAAGCCTTCCGAACGAGAATTAGAACATACCAACGCAATATGTAAACGCTCTTTCGTTCCGTGTCCCGGCTGGTCGAGCAGCCTTTGCTCTGCATATATACACATATACATACATACATACAGACAGACATACATACATACACACATATATGTATATACATACATTCTATACGCATGTAAAGATGTGTGTCTATGTATCTGTATACATATGTATATATATACATATATATACACATGTATATATGTGTGTGTACAAATAAACAATTATATATGTATATACACACGCAACCATGTGTACACACATATACAGATATAGATATTCCCGTTTGCAACAGTGTTTGTTTAACGTGTCGTAGAGCAACTTTCTCGGGTGTAGCGCACCCTCCCCGCCCGAAAAGCCTGACCCCGTTCGCCAAGCTCTTGGAGTCGTAGAAGATCCCACGTCACTATGCCTCGGATCTTGCAGCGACTCTAGTCCCAGTCCTCCGTGACAGAACCTTGTCGGCTTAGTGAGCAGCGCCTCACTGCAGGAATGGCGCGCCAGTGGAACGAGGCAGGAACAATGGCTCGCAGTGTGAAGGGAACATTAGATCCCGGAAGTCCTGAGATTTTCTTGGGCTGGATAAAGGCTTGTTACAACGTCGAGGTGATACTGTAGCATGCCCGTTCCGAAGACTACGAGTGTGTGTATATATATATATATATATACACATATACATATACATATACACATACATACAAGGAGGGTACCTAAGGGGTGGACCTCAAGCCTTAGACATTTCGATTGGCTTGATGACCTTTGGATATGGCGTGTGAATCCTGATCTTGGGCGCAGACGTTCATCCAAAGGCAAGTGAAGGGGTTGGATTTCAGACGGACTTTCGCAGATTCCCGAAGCCCGACGGCTCAGGCATTGAAGTTGCTGCAGTCCAGCCAGTGCCAAAGCGACGACTGGCAGCCCAGCTGCAAAGGGCGCGCGTCCTGGGCTAGGATGCCGTTGATTGCAAGCAGTATGGAACTGCTGGACATGCTCCTTACGAGTTGCCAACTGGCTACGCCTAATCTCAGTGGCCCAGCCACTACAGCCTTCTAAAGTCTTGCATCTGCTGTTGGGTCCGAGTAGGATCTCTTCTGCTTTCCCGTGTCGTGATTGAGACTCGGGTTGTAATGTGCATGCAGTGTGAATGCCTCGCTCTGGTGCCATTTCAAGCTGGGGCAGGGTCTAGCACTTGGTTGTTGCAGACACGTGTCATGAGGGGACGGTGAGATCGACGGGCTCGCCCACTCTCAACCAAGTGAGACCAGTATGCTCAAGCCTTCCGCAAGCGAGAGCGCACGCAAAAATGTGGACAAAAGCGAGCGCGGAAACAGCCAGGTGCCTGAGTGCAGCGATTTGGGCGTGTCAAGTGGCGGGAGCCACGGATGCAGCCTCTGTCGGGTCCTCGGCATTGCTTGGCCTTCAGCTGGAACCGCAAGCCAGTGGATGTTTTCGTTTCGGCAGAAGGAGACATGGCTTTTCGGGAGTAGCACTTTATTTGTATAGATACATGTGCTACAGGCAGGGCAGGCCGAAGGCCGATGACGCTTTGGTCTTTGGGATCCGCTTTGGGCACATCGCTAAGAGCACATCGAGCTCCCCTGTTGCCGCAAATGGCGCTTGCGCCGTTCACATTTTGGCCAGAAGCTCTATTGACGGCTCGGCTGCTGCTTGTTTTCGCAAGCCTTGCAGAATAGAATGCTCCGCATTTCGTAAGCTTTGGGTCTGGACTGCAAATTTGAAGTCTCCCCATTGGCGCTTGCAAGGCAGGAACCAGGCTACCTATATGTACTGTCTTTCCAGAGTTCTCCGACATGTATCTCCGTGCAACCTCAGCATTCCTCGATGAAGTGGTGCTGCAGTGCAGAAACAGCAAGTATTGAATGAAGCATCAGAGCAGGAGATTTCGGTATCGCCGTGTTTGCTTCTTGCTGTGCCCATGAAGCACGGCTCCTCGGACTCACATAACCTTACAGACGACCATTTCGCGACAGCACAGATTCCCGCTCTTGCCGGCGAAGATCAACTCCAATGCTGTTCTGGAGCATAGAGCGCAATTCAGAATCTCAAGCACTAACGCCCAGGCACTTCTTTCTCAGCGCCTCGAGCAAGAACGAGGCTCACGCAGGAAGCGGAAGGACAGTTTTTCGCCTTCAGGGCCGAGTCCTTACGTAGGAGTTGCTCTTGGGCGACTGCGTCGTCTGCTCGTGTCGCCTCCTTGTGAGCTTGCCACCTTCCGACAAATCCCACGACGTTGTGCGTTGACAGGGTGCGCCCTTCATCCACGTTTCACATGCTGAAGTTCTGTAACTGGCAGCCGAAGTTGAGAGTGTTCCCGTCGATGCGTTGCACGAATTGATTGGGCATGCCAGAAACGCGCTGCCGAATCCAAGTCGACCCTGTGAGTTCATCCTGCTGTGATCTATGCAGGAGTTGCGGCTTCTCGAGCACCTCGAGCAGCCACTCAGCGGGAGTAGAGGCTGCGGGAGGAGCAGCTTAGGAGCTTTGTTATGCACGCAGGGGATGCCAAGCTCAGTGCGGCAACTTTGAGGGGCCCAACTCTCATTGCTTCATTGCAGAGGGCTACGGGAATCCAACAATCATTTTTTCAGTGCATGGTGTTGATGCTGTAGCGATTGAGACTGCGAGTCATAGTCTTCAAGATTGAACAGCATATGAACAAAGTGTTGTGGAGAAACGGATAGCCTTACCTCAGCCCGACTGCAGTGGTTTGCGAAGGCTCATCGGTGTTTGTTCACAGATTCAGATGCAATCAGATGCAGTTTTATTGCCTGACAGTGGATGAAGGCTTAGAAGCAGTGCCTCAAGGTTTTGGATGAGGTCAGGGTATTTCGCACTGCAGACCTTGTGGACCATGTCGGCCCAGCATGAGTTGAAATCAGCGTATGGCACCGATCGTGAAGGGCCGACATCCCCGCATGCCGGCGTCCTGAGGACGGCTGTGAGGAATTGCCCCGTGCGCTCCCTAGAAAAGAGTTGTGGGAGTCTTTCGAAAGGAACAAAGGCTGCGGCTTCAGGATGCAGTGCATAATTCTACTCACAGGTTGCATTGGCTCCCCGTTGTGCAAGTTGGCAACCTCCCCTGAGAGTCCTGAGCATGCACGGCGTTGCCACGACCGTGCACACGGCGTCTTAAATTACAGTAGTGTCCCAACTCGCATTTAACCGGCCTCGATCTCAACATCGGATATGCTGCCAGAACTGCAGCGGCGTCCCGTTCGGGATGTGAGAAGATGTCGAGCTTTACTGCAACCGCAAACTTTTGCTGGAAGTGGCAGACATAATCAGGGCGCATCTAGGAAGGCCTTTGTCAGACTAGCAGTTGCATCGCAGCTGCTGAATAAATTCAACTCTCCTCGACGACTATCAAGGCAGGATTGTCCTTCCGTGGCTAAGTTTCCCGCAACCAGGCATTGCGGCATTCCCAATTGTGGGGACCATGCTCTTTGCTGGATATCCACGAAATTGAGAGTTGCGCGTGGCATCGAAACCCACCCCTAAATGGTGTGTTTGTTTGTGTAAGGTTGTTTGTGTGGTGAGCATATGCATCCAATAACAGGCCCGTATTAAAGCGTACCTCGCGTGTTAACCGCTGCTTTTGCGACAGTAGATGTTCCCCATTTTAGACTCAGTTCTTCTACATGTTGTCCTTGAGAGGATGGTCTTTATGTAGCATTACTACAATCTACTACAGCACTGCAAGACATTCTGACAGATTCTGGGGTGTCTTTGATCTAGGGCATAAAATGTCCTGCTTGATTTGGGTTTTTGCTGGTGGCAGCTTTGGTCAGCTGTCATCTTCTCCAAGAGTTGTTCAGATGAAATTATCCTTAATTCTTCGAACTGGGGCTTATTCATGTCTCAGTAACACCATTTAGTTAGGGCTAAAGGTTTTCCATCCATACCTTTGCGAATTTGTCGGTTTGTCGCTCCGCCATCCATATTCATCCTCATTCGGGACCCAGTGACTCCTTTCAGGGTTCAGAAATAAGATTGGCCATTTGCTAAGTCCTTTGGCCACCAATCATCACTTACATAACTGATCATCTCCTTCCAGGGTTGTGGGTTGCCCCACAACTTACCCGACTGTCCTGTCGGGCGTTGGAGGCCCAATCACTTTTTGCAGGGTTTGGCGCTGACTGTTGGCTTTCTGGGCACCGATCTCCCTACTAGATTTTTTTCCCCGCCCTGAACATATCTGAACATTTTTCCTACTAGGGTGGGCTTTGGGGACCGGTATGCCGAACCTCTCATCTCTCTTTCATTGCAATGGTTTTTCCAGGTCTAAGGTTGAAGATGTACCACTCGTCGAATACTCCTCTTCGCAGAAACTAAGGGTTTTACATCCAATATCTCATGCTAGAACAATTAACAATGTCCAGAACTGGTCCCTTCTTTGCATTGCTTTTGCCAGGCTTGACGGCTTGCCACCTGTCTACACGTCACCGTCTTAACCATAACCTATTGAAGGTTTTGGGGTTTGGGAGCCGAACCATGCCTTCCAGGAATTGGGGGTTGCCATCCATCTCTCCTTGCCTAGGCTTTGGGGTTTCATGCTGGGGTGTTTAGGAACCAGTCATTCCGTTTTGTCGTCCCGGTTCCTCGGCGTCACAAACACATTGGAACCCATCATGATCTATTTGGTTTTCGTTTTGGCAGAACCATTTATTTCATCGTTCGGAGCTTCGGGTCTATGAAATATATTCCTATTTTCCATCTGTTGCTTCACCTACAGTACAGTGTCTCGGGTGCACGTCACCACTCGCCCATATGAGCACATTATTCCCCATTGAGTTATAGTTGTTGGGGAGTCAATTATGTCTGGTTTCGGGTCTGCAAACAACAAGCCCCTTCTCGTTCTGCATTTTATGACTGGCTTCGTCACTCACACATCATCTAACATTCGAGTTGGGGTTTCCTGGGAATACATGTTTACGGGCATGCATGCGTACATACACACGTACATATATATATATATATATATATACACAGGGCTGGGATCGAGCCACCAAGAGCGGTGTGCATTGCCTGTGCCCCAGTGCATAAAGTTGCACGCATTCGCCGTGGGAGAGCCATTCCGCGATCCCCGACGTGGCACCGAAAGCTCCGTGCTGCGAGAGCTAAGGCGCGGAAGTGTGTGCGGGCCTCACACACCGTTGGCCGGTACCCACCTGTCAAGGACGTGGTTCTCCTGCGATCGCATCACTCCTACTCTGCCCGACCACGGCTCCACATGGGCAAGGACCAGCGAGGCAAATGGCAGCAACCACAAGGTGGATATGGTGGCTGGCAACAGGACTCATGGTCCGGCAAGGGCTATGGCAAGGACCGGCCGCAGCAGCCCCGCAAGCCCAAGGAGAACAAGCCCGAAGCTGTGCAGTTCCCTACTTTGGAGATGATGACGGCACCGAGCAAGAAGGCAGGCAGCTCCCGGCGGCCGACCGAGGAAGAGGACAGCGATGGGCAAAGCACATCCAGGCTGGACCTGGGCCGAGTTGTGCAGAAGTTATGGCACGCTCCATGTCTGTGATGGGGAAACTCTGAGGGTGGTGCTGAGATCTGCTACGAGCCCGTCACCTGCCGGGAGCCCACCACCAGATAAGGAGGAGGATGACCCCGAGGAGGACTGTGATGACAGCAGCTCAACCAGGATGCCTTGCCCAACTCCTCTGACCTCTCTGGAGGCTCGCCCCAGAGAGGATCAGGGCCTTTCGGCCCGCCTCCGCCGAGCCACGGAGCCGGTCGCCGCCTCGAGGGGCTCACCACGGGACCCAGGAACCAAGGGCTTTGCAGCTTGCGAAGGCTCTGCCGGTGCCTGCATTTGATTTGACGCGACAGTGTCTGAAGCTCCCCAGGGTACCGGACAGTTGGACTACGCAGCCAGTGCCGTGGTCGCTAGAGTGGTTTCGGCCATCCCTTGATGGACTCCCTTTGAAGCCGGCTACTACAGCAGCCCTTGCCCAGACCATCAGTTGCGAGGAGTTACTGTCGCGACCTCGAGACCCGGGTGAACTGGAGGTCCATCTCTATACTGATGGATCGGCGGCTGCTGGTCACAGCCGTAGTGGCTATGCTGTGACGATACTTCTACGACTTGGAGTATTTGCTGCAGTTTTTGGCCTGTTGGGTGAGCAGTTGATTGGACGAGAAGGCTCTCTGTGGCCGCTTGAGGCCCCAGCTGCCCTGCGGTCAGAACAGATTGCTCTTGTCGCTGCGATGCTTTGGGTCCTGCAATTTCGGGCCTTTGTCTCTGAGCTGAACTGCACAATTTTCTTTGATTGTATGGCTGCTGGCTATGCCACAAACGGCCGATGGCAGGCGCCAGACCAGTTCGGAGTCCAGGCCCATTTGTTGGAGATGTTCCTACGCGAGCAGCCTGGAGTGACTATCCATATGGAGCACGTCAAAGGCCACAGCGGTGATCCCTGGAATGAATTGACCGATGTGGCAGCCAAGGCAGCTGCAAATGGTGTCGGCCACTTTGGATGTGTACCAGAGGAGGTTGGCCATGAATTCTTGAGCCTAGATCTCTCATGGCTCGCAGCAGAGGTCAGGGCCCGGAGAGACAGTGCCTTGCCTATCAAGAAAGGCTGTCTCGAATGGGGAGAGTTTGTCGATGACGGATACCGCCTTGCCCCGGAGCAGCTGCACCCACTACTTGGACTGCGCCCTTCCCCGAGTTCTACACCAAGGTTGGAACTTTGAATGTTCAAGGGTTTGGTGGGACCTTACCTGGAAGCCCAGCTCGACATCGCGGACTTCAATGTGGTGATGTTCCAGGAAACGAAAACTGGGTCAGGTTTCTTGCGAACCAAGAATTACGTCAGACTTGCCACCGCTTCCCTCAGTCGGTGGGGTGTTGCTGTGTGGGTCCACAGGACCAAGGGCATGATGTGCTATGGCGGCAAGCCGCTCCTCGTTGATGAACATGACATTACTGTCGTGGAAGAGGGCCCTCGATTGCTGATTCTCAAGGTCGCTGCTGCTGGCATCCGGTCTTTTTGGTTTCAGCCCACTCCCCCCACGACACCAAAACTGATGATTGGGCCAGTTTCATGAACGACCTCGATAAGAGCTTCCGGGGCTTTAAAGGAGCGGATCTTGTTCTTTGCGGCGTGGACCTCAATGGCAGGTTGCCATGTGGCATTGAGGGAGCTACTGGAGATAGAGAGGCAGGGAAGCCGGATGCGATCGGAAGGCAATTCGCCCAGCTTCTAACCAAGTACAAGCTTTGGGCGCCCTCAACATTCAGCCACCTACACCATGGTGAGGACAATACCTTCGTCCACCCTACGGGCAGCCAGCATCGAATCGACTACATGATTGTTGGAGGTGGTGCTGCTTGCCTTCGTGCTGAAAGTGCGGTCTACGTCGATTTTGACACAGGGGCTCCGCGGGAGGATCACAGACTTGTTGGTGTTTCCCTGCATGGTATTTGCCGTGGGACTGTGAATCGAGCAAGTTTGTGTCGCCCTGCCTACGACCGCGAAAAGATTATGTCCGAGGAAGGACGACGACTGCTGGAGCAAGCCTGCCAGGACTTTGTGCAACCGGATTGGACGGTCTCCCCTGACAGCCATTGCCAGATGATCCAGCAGATGCTCCATGCAATGTTGCAACGGCACTTCCTTGTCGACAGGACCTCGGGCAGAGCCTCTTTCATGCCGCCCGAGGTGTGGAAGGTGCGGGAAGCTAGATTAAAGCTCAAGAAGGCCACGAGAGGACGCCTGACTCTATGGCTTGACCTGGTTGCTTGGGCATTTCGACAACTACGTGACCAAGTCGACCGCGGCATGGTTGAAGTAGTCATGCAAGTAGTCAACAGGCAAGGCCTGTTGTATCAGGTCTCAGCTGCGGCTATACGCTTCGCAGCTATGCGAATCAAGCGAGGCCTTGCCCAGGCCCGGCAGGCTTTCATACGGACCATGTTGACGGAAGGTCACCAAGGGTCCTCCCAAGTCCTTCGCCGAATCAAGAAAGCTGGGCTCGGTGGGAGCAAGGCGAGAGCTCGGTGTAGGCCGCTCCCGGCTCTCCTGCAACCGGGCACTGGTTTACAAGTTGGGGACCGAGCTGGATACGACCAGGTCTGGCTCGAACACTTTGGTGCCCAGGAGCAGGGCACGATAGTCGCCATCGGGGACTTCATCGAGGAGGCTGCGACCCCGATTCCCTGTGATGAAGTCGGCTGGAGTCTCAGCTATCTGCCGAGCCGGATCGAGGTGCAGAATTTGCTCAGGGCCGTTCCCAGAGGAAAAGCTGCAGGCTTGGACAATGTGCCGGGAGAGGTATTGGCCTCTGCACATGTGGGATTGACGCCGATCCTGCACGCCCTGTATACCAAGGCAATGGTGCTCGCGAAGCAACCCACGCAGTGGCGTGGAGGCATCTTGTATGAGGCATACAAGAATGCTGGTGCCTCAAATGATGTGGCCAATTTTCGGAGCTTGTTCGTGAGCAGTACTGTTGGTAAGTGCTACCACCGGCTTATCAAGAACAAAGTCCACGAACAGACGCAGGGTTCCCTTCACCCATTGTATTGCGGCCCACGACAACGAGCTCCTGTGCTCTTCCCGGAGCTCTACATCCTGTCGCATGTGAGGCGGTGCTGCAAGCAAGGGCTCAACTATGCTGTGTTGTATTTGGACACCAAAAGTGCGTACTACAGCATAGCCAGAGAACTGGTCACAGGTGACATTCGTCGAGACTCCACCGTCATTGAGATTTTTCGGCGTTTCAATTTGGGTCCGGAGGCTCTACAGGAGCTGATGACGGCTGTTGCTGACGAAGGGGCGATGGCGGAGGCTGACGTGCCGGCTGCTCTGCAGCAAACGGTGCGAGATCTGCACCACTGTACGTGGTTTACCACGCGGTACACTGATGGCGCCCGGGTCTGTCAGACCCTAAGAGGCTCGCGCCCAGGTGAGTCCTTTGCCGACACCATCTTCGCCTACATCTACAGTAAGATCCTTTGTGCCATCTACGAAGCAGCGACGGCGGAGGATCTCGCATTTACCCTGCCACTTGACCCAGAGACTGGGCCTTTCGGCAGTGCTGGAGGTTCCTCTGAGCAACCTTCCTGGGATGCTACGTGGGCCGACGACAGCGCCTTCCCGACGGCCGCCGAGGACAGTGAGGTGCTACTACGAAAGATCACCCGCCTCACGGCTGTGGTTCTGGGCACATGCCAGGCCCACTGCCTTGAGCCCAACATGAAGGCCGGGAAAACCAGCCTCATGATTGGGCTTCGTGGCAAAGGCTCTACCAGGGCAAAGCGTCGATACTTCGCTGGTGGATCCCCGGTCCTACAGATTGAGGAGATTGGAGCGGCGGTGCATGTCGTCCCACAATACCGACATTTGGGAGGCTACTTGGACACCCGCAATTTGATGATGGTTGAGGCCAGGCATCGTATTGCCATGGCCACTCAAGCCTACGACGCTTCAGCTAAGCTCCTCCTCAACAGAAGAGACTTGGATATGTCGGTCAGGGCCGGCATCTTGCACTCTGTTGTCACGGCCTCATTCTTCAATATTGCCTTGTGGGTTGAGAAGGGTAAAGCTTGGGCCGTCCTCGAGAATGCCTACTCCAGACTGGTGAGGCGTTTGCTGTGTACTGTGGTGCGGGGAGAGCGGCTCTTTCGGGTTGTTCCGCAGCTGGCACACATTGCTACGGGCTGCTGGAAACTACGTTTCGTGGCCAGAAGGGCGAGGCTTAGTTTCCTTGCCTCACTCGCCCAAAGTGGACCTGATCTGCTATGGGCTGCGTTGCAGAATGAGGGTGAATGGCTCCAACAAGTTTGCGGTGATCTACGCTGGCTTGTTGGCCAGGATCGAGCCATATGGCCCGAAGTCAATGGAGCAGCGTGGCCGCAGTGGCGATCTCTTCTTCGAGACTGACCTAACTACTTCAAGCGAAGAGTTGTCGGTAGACTGAAGGCAGCCCATGACCAGGAATGTGGCAATGACCTGGTCTTGGTTTGCCACTGGGCGATGCTCAGAGCCCTCCGCCGACATGAACCCCAGGCGGTCGCCCGGAGTGTATGGAGATGCTGGGCCTGCGAGGTGACCTTCAGTACAAAGGCCAAGCTGAGTGTCCACCTCTTCAAGACGCATGGAAGGGTCGCGGCTTATCGGCAGTTCCTCCATGGAACGATTTGTGAAGCCTGTGGTAAGCAGTTCTGGTCTGGAAGGCGACTGGCAGCTCACCTCCGGGCTTCAAGGCCGTGTGTCAGCACCTTGCGGCGGCAGCGACGTCCGGTTGAAAATGTGCAACCGGGTTTCGGCAGTCGAGCGATGAGGAAGGACGATGTGGAGAACTACACGCTGTCCGCTCCGGAGTTGCACTTCATGCCGATTGCTGGCGAAGGAGAAGATCGGTGGTTTGGGCCCCAGAAGCAGTTCTATGAGGCTGTGTGCGATGCCGCCTTCAGCGCGGGCTCCGGTGGCGAGTTTAGGTCGCGGCTATTAGCTGCGGTCAAGGCGTTCCCTGTCTACCCGACCGAGATCAGCGAGGTCTTGGAGGTCCTGCTTGATGAGATTGTGGCGGTGAACAACAGCCACGAGGACCGACAGTGGGATGCGACCACCGTTGAGGAGATGCTGTTGGCGTGCAAGGAGATAGTTTCTGGTACCCGAGTTGAGGTTGTCATCGCTCCCAATGAGGTTACTAGTGACGCCTTTGATGAGTTCCAGAAGAACTACCACGACATTGGCTGGCAGAGTGAGGTTGCTTGTAGGCTAGCCTCGCACGGGACCCGGGCGTGTACTTTGTTTATCCTGCCGACCCTCTGGGAAGCTGAATGGAGGAAGGTTAGGGAAGGACTCGCTTTTTCAGCCGTGCTTGATGAGCCATTGGAGCTTTTGCCGAAGCCCCTCAAAGAGGCATGGCTCGAGATAGCCGCCGGCAGACCAGTCAAGATCAGGGCGCCTTCGGCGTTCTGGGGCCACCCTCTGGCCGGGCCTTTCGGCCCATGTAAAGAGGCTGTGCACAGTAATTAGGCAGCGTACTACCTCTGATTGCAAGGAAATGGAAAATATATATACATATGTATATACACACACATACACACTGTTATGCACATGTAGACGTAGCAGGTCCATACATATGAGTTCACATGTATTCATACTCGTATTAAGAACCAGTCGTTGTTCCTATGGTATGCACGCGCACATACATCATTATACAGATGATTTGTTCTCATGTTTCATGTTTGTGCATGCAGGAAAAGTGATATAAAAAAACCAGAGTATGGGCTGGTTTATCTGTCGTGGGAGATCGGTCCTGATTGACTCGGGCATCGCCTGGGAGAGCCAGGCTGTCGTAGGACAGCGGGCGCGCAGAGGAGGAGGAGCAGGAGGATCCAGGAGAAAGGGGGGGGTGGAGGGGGAACAATTGAGAGCCACGAATGTAACATCATGACACCCAGATTTCGTTTCCGTCTCAAACACACAGGCTGAAACATCTGCACATATAACATAAGAACCTGCTAATGCCAAGGCAGGAAATACCTTTATTGTGGTTTTATGCAGACCCTTTTTCCGTCTCCTCAATAAGAAATCAAGATAAGGCATATTTACAAATGGTTCGTTTATGTAAATATATTTCGGGCTGCTTCACCCACCACTAATCAACTTTAGTCCATGTTCCAACTTTCTGGGGTTCAGTGTAGGGCGTTCGGCAGCAAACTCAACTGAGCAGAATTGGTACTCGAATCAGTCTATGTCGGCCAAACAATTGATCGGACTGCGGGGGAAGCGCCCAAGATTGTACCGTAGAGTGTCTCAGCAACTTGCATCTAGAATCCCATGTCGAGTGATGGCTCCAAATCGATTTGCCAGAGGGACCGCTCTTGCCAGAGATCGGAGGTTTGATCGGTCGCAATGGCCTTGCAAACGTCTGCATGAAAATTTTGAAAAAAACCCGGACCCAGGCGAATGCGCAGCATGAGGTTAACCAGTCCCTTCTTCGTCCTCCATCGGTGCCCAGGCTAGTGTCATCCACTCTTTGGAGCAGTTTTCCACGGAGAACAGCTGGCTCAAGGCAGGCGTGCTGAGTGAAGTCGGATGGGGTAGAGAAAGAGCGTCATCCACCTTGTCAATGCCATACGAGACATCGTTCCTCCGCTTTGCAGGTCGCTGGCGGTGAGAAAGCCAACGTGTTGCAGGCCTGGTTTTTTGCACCTGATTCACAGCCCTGGACCACACAGCCTGGCACGAATTCCACTTGTTGGGTGCAGATGTCCTGAGGGTGAATACGAATTTAGGCTAAGACGTCACGACGTCGACTCACACAAGCCATTGAAGGGCCAAGTAGGAGAACAGGTGCGTGTCCTCGACATTTCCCGGCTTGCAGACCCGACACTCCATTCCGACCTTGCTACAAGGCAAGTTTGGTTCGCAGCTGACATCTAGGCTTTGCGGTTTGCTTCACAGTGCATCGCAAGGCGGTAGTTCGGCCCACAGATCGGGTCCTTGAAATCGGTGCCTATGCCAGGGCCCCAACAACTTGGGGCTTGGGACTGATTGGACTTAAGTGTGGGGGTGGGTTCTTGGACCTTGCATCGGCTTTTCCTTTCAGCCTTGCACTGTTTCTTCCCGTCTTGTTCAGGGCTTCGGGCGTTTTTAGTTTATGCTCGCCAACAAGCTCTGTAGCTTTACCACATCATGTAGCTTTGGCGCGGCAGGTCAGAATGCAGCCCATGATTTCAATCCTGGGGTGAAGTTTGAGCTCTGTGGGGGTTCGGATTGGTGGTTCTTGCGAGATGGAGCATATGTGCAATATCGGTACGTTGTCGGTCTCGTCGTCGTCATTCTCCCGTCCACCACCTACGGTCCTCGCAGCGATTCTCGACATTTTTCATCATCCCCGAAGTCCTCTTGATTGTCCCGGTACTGCTCGTCCTCGTCACTGTCATTGTCGTCCATCCGGTGTGGCCACTTCGTTAGGGATTTTCAGGAGGGTTATACCAGTCGCAGTCGTCCCTGCAAATGGGTTCTCTACTAATAAGCCCGTCCAACCCCCGCGCGGACCAGCTATGCCGGGGCCATGCCGTCGAGTGTGACTTTTGACAGTTTAATTCCCGGAATTATGCCTGCAAGCTTCAACGACACAGCAGTCTACCTTCACTTGGCAGGCGTGGTTATTTGCCCTGCCGGTAGTAGTAAGGTTTCCTGAGATAGAAGATGTGGCATCCTTGGGAGGGCACACCATCTAAGTACACCTTGTCGCATTGAGGCTTGCCGCACTCCAGCGTTCAACAACTTAGTTAAAGTCTTCGCTTGGGCCTGGATGGACTCCACTCGAAACTCGATCCAAAGAAAGAAGCTCTAGCTTGGCCATCCACGATGGAGGGACTGGGGTAAAGGAACAAGTTTCAAGCCGAAGAGGTCGGCTATTCGGCCCTGCGACTTTCTTTGCTGCAAGACGGCCGGCAGCAGGTCCTGCAACAATGTTTGTCTTCTCAGAAACAAACAAGCACTTGGGCTTCTAGCTGAGATCTTGTTGGATGGCTCGGGGGGTAAGGCTCAGGGTTTGGTTTTCTCTTCGGCCTGTGCACGGGCCTCAGTCGTTATGATAGAAGTCGAGCGGATCTGGCTAGTTCTCAAGCCCAGTAGCAAGAACTGTTTCTCTTCGACGTGTTGGTGGCTGCAGTGAAGCTGTTCAGGATTTCCAGCATGAGCTGGTAAAACCATGTTTGCTGCACCCACAGGTGTTCTCCGATTTCTGGTGGCTCTACACATTTCTCGCACCTGAACATAAACTGTAAAGCCCTGGTGCTTATTCGATGCCTTGAAGGACCCCAAGCACCTGTTGCCTCAACGAATCATCGAGCCCTGCTGCTGCTCGCTTTTTCCTCTGACGCTGAAACCTCGCCTCCGTGAAGCATACCTGTGCCAGGTCAGAGCAATTGAGTCTGACCCACTCAATGCTGCGGCCTGGTGCTGAGCACCTGTCGTTGCGCACGCAGCAAGTTACCAAGGCTTCACTTAGTTGCGAGAAAGACGAACTTTCAGGCAAACTTGCACTGCAGCATCCTGCCCAGCACAAACGTAAGCAGGCACGGGTCAAAAAGTGGCAACTGCTGAAAAATGGCAAGCTTCCTTTGAACCTCAACATATTCCCTGAACCCTTGCAGATCCCTAAGCCCAACAGCAAAAGGCAGGGATATCGACATAAAATGGAAGAAAGTCAGACAGATAGGTTTATATAGATAGATGTATTGGGACAGATAGGTACGTATATATTATCCGTCTATATATATATATATATACATATGTATGTGATGGAGAGAGAGACAGAGAGAGAGAGAGAGAGAGAGAGAGAGAGTGAGTGAGTGAGTGAGTGAGAGAGTGAGAGAGTGAGAGAGTGAGAGAGTGAGAGAGTGAGAGAGTGAGAGAGAGAGTGAGTGAGTGAGTGAGAGAGTGAGAGAGTGAGAGAGAGAGTGAGAGAGAGAGCACGTGTCAACCAATATCTGAGGATCCCGATTCTTCTAGAGTGCAACATATCTCGTGCTAATCGGGGGGACTCGTTATGTTTTCACGCCCTACCTAAAACCCCATAACACATGGGGGGCCCATGCGGCAGGGGGCCTCGCACGCTCCCCAAGCCCTGGAGGAGGAGAGAGAGAGAGAGAGTGAGAGAGAGATTGAGAGAGAGAGAGAGAGAGACTCACACCGAACTCGAACAGTGGCGTAGCGCTCGCGCGCAGGGGGTGTGGGGACCCGAGCCCCACCTCCCAAACGCCTTGCAAGCAAGCAAGCAAGAGAGAGAGAGAGAGAGAGAGAGAGAGAGAGAAAGCATGCACATGTACGGGATATTACGTCCTTTTCGTTTCCTCGATGTCCTGCAAAACCCCGACCACCTCATCCTTTCAGCAATTCACCGTTCGTTTCCGCCATATGGTTAGTGACTAACCGTTAGTCCCCCCCTTACTTTTCATAGGACCAGGTTTATTGGTGAAATTGTGAATTGGTGACAGGGTTTTGAAGACTTAACGACATCGGTGAAGTGAAGGGTGGGCTTGAGTAGAAAACCATTCATAGGTCAAAAAAGACTGGTGACATGGTGAAATGGTCGCGTGAACACCTGACCGACACGTTCGAGAGTTCAGGTAAGGATGGCAGTGAAGCTCTGCAAGCACTGGGAGAATAGATGGCCAAGCAACCAGAGCTCGATTCATTGACTACGAGAGACGTTTGCCATACCTCCGGACACGCAGCAACCAGCACTAGTCGAGTTCTTTTCAATGTTGTTTTCAATTCGGTCGCTTGTTGGCAGGCTCGCAAGTCGCAACTTTTTGCAGAGTCGGAGCACGGCCCATTTTCGGTTTCATTTTCTGTACGACTCCGACAGCGGATTAAAATCCGATGCGAGAATGTGGACACTTTTGTCGCTATACTGATGCAGGCATAGGCCTAACATACACCCCTTCCAAAACAGGCTCTGCGCTCCTTGCCTGAGGTTGCACAAGAAGTCCTTCATTTAGCCGGTGTGGCTGAGAGCGTCCAGCTGCGTGCGCCCTCAAGTCCCAACGTTTGGGGTTCAAAGTCCAGGGCTTACCGTCTTACTGTCTAACTAGTCTAACCTGAGCCAGTTTACACCTCGAGGGCAACGATTCTTGTTGATGGGGTCGAAGTTTGCATCAGGCAAGGCCGTCCGGTCGTCAAGGTGATATTCGAAATATGTGCATGTTTAAGCTCTGGGCGCACGAGACTCAACTGCCAGGTTCAATCTAGCAAACCCTGGGGGTAACCTGGGAGTGCGGTAGTGCAACAATCGATGGCATCAGAATGGCCAGCGAGGCAGGTTCTCAACATTTCTCAAGATACAGAACTGGGACCTGGCAGATCTAGGCTGCGTCACTCAGGACCAAGTAGCTGCATGCAGCTGTGACAGTTGTGAAATGCCCTCAGTCTCGCAATGCAACTAACTCACCTCACAGCCTTCCTTACCGAGACTTTCTCGCACAAGTACGTTGTGGGATGATCTTAAACCAGTC